GAGAGAGAGAGAGAGAGAGAGAGAGAGAGAGAGCAGACAGGCCGACAGACAGACAGACAGACAGAGAATATAAAGTTTTTCCTAAAACGTTTTGTTTTTTAAAGGAGGGACTACAGTGTGCGGGTCATGCCAAGGCCCGTGGGTTATATTCTTATACCGAGCACCTTGCTGTAGACTTTAACCCCTTCGTTGTTAGATCCGAGAATTGAATGATAAGGCAAGTCTTCCAGTAAAAGAGTATCCCTGCGTTTCATAAATCTTTGTTAATATGGATAAAATTAATTCGTTGTAGGCTACTTTAAATTTTTGATTGATTTTAGGAGTTTGTTACCGTCATTGTTCCCTCTCCAACAACCATCCAATCACCGTGGAAAAGGAGGATGGTTTATTAGTGGGAGAGAGGGTTGAGGAGAGACGAATGAGTATCTGAGGAGATGGGGTACAACGTAAGAGTACGCTTATCCGAAAGTCCAACCAGAAAGACCGACACGGGCCAAGCTATGAAGGGTTAAATCTTTGCACAACCCACTTATAATAATAGCATACACATTTAAAGCTAAATACATTCTGCTTCATCTGACCCCGACACATTAGAAATACGTTACTTTTTTGTCTTTGTTTTGGTAAGTGTTTTACGGCGCTCGCAATTGCATAAGGTCATATGAGCGCGCGGGACACACTAAACAATTTCAGTAGGTAGGACATTTTGAATTTTGTACGGGTGGCGGCTAAAGCCTACACTTATCGATTTTGGACCTCCAAGGGATCTTTAAGGAGCACTATTTGCACTTGAGATCTTCAATATTTTTTGCCTTGTCCAAGAAGGCTAGGAGTAGATCTTTCCTACCATAAGATCAGGTGTGTGGCTGAAAGACAGCAATAAGAAGAAGCCACGGAGAAGCAGTAGAAAGGCTACCGAAAGAGTCAGGAGCCCAGAGGAGGAAGGGGGAAGGGGTGCACAAAAAGTGAGTGGTTGGGTGCAGAAAGTGTAAACGAAAGCAGACGACAGAACATTGTTAGCGAGCTGAAAAGTAGTGCTGTGCGATTTTGAGGAAACAAAATTCATCGAAGCTTCGAATGTTTTTTTCTAATATATGATAAGCATAAACCGAGACCTAAGTTCTGCTATTCTATATTTGCTAGCTATTCACAGTGCCGTTGAATGTTTTTTTTTTCTTATAAGTTAAATGTGATAAGCCCAGCCCTAACTTCCACAATTTGAAGCGCCGTCGAATCATATTTTCTTATGTGTGATAAGCCTAGATCTAACTTCCGCTATTCACAGCGCCGTCGAATAGTTTTTTCTTATATAAGATAATTTTCTGTTGCTACCCGGATTCGAACCCAGGACGTATTGAAAGAGAGGCGTACACTTTAACCTCTAGGCCACGAGAGCCGCAGTAAGTTAAGTCTTGTTAAGTCCCTCAGAGCACACAAAGAAGAACTGAGCCTTACGTCGTTGTAGCAGTGAAGGGGTTAATGTGGACCATCGGTTTCGTAGGTTTACTTGTGCAGTTTGCGATGGGTTTATATTACAAAAATAAAAAAAGAATGTCTCGATTGTTCATTTTAATGTGATCTTCACTTTTGAAATTGAGAACTGTTTAAAACTGAAATGTGCCCACAGTGACTGACAAGAATCTGATAACGTTCTTCTGTAATCTTTTATGAACATTACGGAGATTATCTAGACAAGTAAATTGCCTATAGAAGGGTTTGAGAAAGAGAGAGAGAGAGAGAGAGAGAGAGAGAGAGAGAGAGAGAGAGAGAGAGAAAGAGAGAGAGAGAGAGAGAGAGGGAGCGGTGGGGAGGGTGAGGGGAGAAGGAGAAGAAAAAAATAGGGAACGAGCAAGAAAGAGAACGCTACGCTTTTCATCGATGACCTGATTACTGAGAATAAAACTCCCACTCACATACAAGGAAAAAAAGCATACCATTGCATATACACGGAAAAGCAGCTCAACCACAAAGGGAAGAATTTCTGTCGTACCTTTACAACATACAAACGAGGTCATTAACAGTGAACATAAGACTTATCGGCATTTATTATCTATCACATTCCTAGACCTAGATTTAAAATTAAATGGGTCTTTAGAATTTTGACAAATTAATTCAGGTTTGGTGTTTCTCTGAACTTCTGGAGCGAGTAGTTCCAAATGTTAGGATAAAAAGAAAAATACGCACCCCCCCCCTCCCTCGAATTATTTGTTGTTTGTTTTGTAAGAGTTTTACGGCGCTCGCAACTGCATAAGGTCAAATGAGCGCCAGAAGATTAGAAGTGTTACAAGAGTAACAAACATAAAAAAGAAGAGGGGGAGATAAGAACGATAGATGTCTCATAGGAAAGAAGAAGCAAACCACTCCAGAGCACCCGCCAACCACTCACCCTCCAATTGTTTTTCACCAAAGCATCATCAATTCATTATAATGTAAGGGCTCTAAATTAGATGCAGTGTAATATTATTCTTAAATTATTTATAACAGTTGGCAGAAACCTTTTATTGTAAAAAAAAAGAGAAGAAAAACGAGCAAAAAACAAAAAACAAAAAGAAAAGGAAACAAAACTAGAACCTAGTGTTGAGCCTTTAACATTTTTGATGCAGGATCTGTCTTCACCAGAGTCTATGGTGTAGCGGATAGGCGCTTCACTGTCGCATGCAAGAAGGCCCAAGTTCGATTCCCAAGTGGGAAGAAATGTTTTCTGAGAGCATGACATTTGTATCTCGGTCTTTCCTGAGGGATGTTGTGTACCTCTAAGTCCGGGTTGGCTCTAAAACAGGCTAGGTAAAAAACCCGCCTCCTAAAAGATCCAAATTGTTTCAACAGGGGCGTAAAAACAACATTTTAAAAGGTCTTTCTTATCTCTTTTTTTAAACACTTAACTAGTCTTACACTTGCAGTGTTGTTTTGTACGACTTGCATTTCTCCTCATTCTCTCACACGTTTTGCCGTAAAACCCTCTACTATAAAAATAAAAATCACAAGTTTTTTTCCCCAGGTCGAGAGAGATAGAGAGGATGCACCTGTATAAGTTGAAATAAGGTGGCTTATCTTACTGATTCTTCTGAAATTAAGGCACATACACGTAATATTTTACTTTTTTGTTCGTGGACACATCCGAATCCCAACATGTATAGGGTTCTTGGCCTTCCTGGGATAGGAACTTCTTGCCTCTTTCGTTTTGAATGGTTTTAATTAACATCTTTAAGTCATCTGTCAAAAGTATGTCTTTTTTCATAAATGAAGATCAGTTTAATTTCCTAGGTCCTTTCTTCACTTTTTCAATGCATTTCTCAGCACTTTCTTTCTCTCTCTCTCTCTCTCTCTCTCTCTCTCTCTCTCTCTCTCTCTCTCTCTCTCTCTCTCTCTCTCTCTCTCTCTCTCTCTCGCTCTCTCTCTCTCTCTCTCTCTCTCTCTCTCTATATATATATATATATATATAAATAAATATATTTATTATGCATCTCATATGAGGAAACTTATTTATTCTCAAAAAATTCTCCAAATAATATGGTGCGATGAGTAAATTCAGCACTCAAGCTATTCCACATCTATACTACGACTCCGTTGGATATTAACCTGTTAGAGGGGTGATCTACATCAATGCTTGACAACCTTTTTTGAAGCTAACTCCCTCTGCTGCCCAGTTTAATAAAGCACTATAGTTTCCGTACAGCCCACCTACGTGTATTTCCAAGTAAGGCATTAAATAATAACCTAAGTGACCCTCGACGCCGAACAAAATTCCCAAAATTGGCCATAGGTGAGCGAAAATATGAATATAATATACATTATATATATATATATATATATATATATATATATATATATATATATATATATATATATATATATATATATATATATATTATATATTATGTATGTATATAATATTTATGTATATAATGTATACTATAATATAATATATTATTATTATTATTATTATTATTATTATTATTATTATTATTATTATTATTATTATTATTGTATATATACACAAAAACGTCCACATTAACTAACATTACTCTATGTGAACCGAAGACATCGTGAAGTACTTAACAGCAGCGTTTCGTCGAAAGATAAAGATAAAACCATGCGGTGTCTATCTGTGTCTGTTCACCACTTGACGCATACCGGATTCTGTAAACTGAGAGTGCTAGAGATATGGGTAGGGACAGTAGAGGGTGCACAGTAGAACCTTTGTGATAACACAGATGTGATCAGACCTTGGTCAGAAGTTCAAGCACTTTAACTTAAAACGGATTACATCACCCGTGGGGTGAAATCGCCACTTACTTGTAGTTTGTGCAGACCTGCCACTTTTCTGTATATTACTCGATCTAACTTGGTGTCGAGTACCTGTAGGCTGCTTTCATCTGCAGAATGCAGGATAATAATGTAGTTTTAGAATTAGCAAAAATTAACGATACGTCTTAGTGATGCGACGGGGAGAGAGAAAGAAAGAGAGAGAGGGAGAGAGAGAGAGAGAGAGAGAGAGAGAGAGAGAGAGAGAGAGAGAGAGAGAAGGAGACAACGGTCCGATCATTCCTTTCATCGAAAGGGGGCACAGACAGTTTTAAACATATTTTCAAGCCAAATATGTTACATAAACAAATTATTTAAAAACAGCCATAATATTATAGACCAGTGAGAGGCAGAAGATTATCTAGTGGTGCGCAGCCAAGGCTATTTATCTGTATTCGACTAAGAGTATCCCAGTTTTCGACTCGATATTTCAGAACGGATGTCAATTTCTTTGAACCGTAATCTCAAAGAGTTTGATAAAAACATGGGCAAGTTAACCATCCTCGTAAAGGACGCATCTTCTCCCCTCATCTGTTCAACAGAGCAGATCTGACAATCACGTTCAACAGTGCAGATCTGACAATCATCAAGACTGCTCTGGGCAACTTCAACTTCGCCGTCGGTTTCAGCTCGAACGTTGTCTGGAGGCAAAATTTTCATAAATTATTTAGTATCATGGCCGAGTCAAGAATATTTACGTTCTTAGTCTTAACCTACGCGATTATCGTCACAGTCATCATCATCTACGACAGAACGGTTGGCCGTACAGCTTTTGCACTAAAGGTACAGTAAAAACGATATTCAATTTCTTGGTTTTATAACAACATTAAATATTATTCAAATTTCCACAAAAGCTCACGTCCTGCAACTTTAACATTTTGTTTTTTTCTACGTCTCTGACTGCTTTTCCTCCACCACCACACGTTATATTATGTGATGGGATATCCATCTTTCGTCATTCATTCGCTTTCTTTGAATTTGGGGAACTACTGTCTGCCGCGGATGTTGATTTATTCGTGTTCTTTTTTTTCAGCTTAATTCGTGATCATGATTTCTAGACCTGAAAAAAATGTCATTTACATCAACTTAACAGCTTACGGGGCATGAGTGAGAATTGCAGTACACAAAATGTTTTTTTTTTTTTTCAACATGAAAGTATTAATTTATCGCACAATAGAATTCAATTTGCTAGATGACCCAGCATCCTAGCCTAGCAGAAAGGCGGAGATCTCGGAGGAATATCATTTCCTATTTGGGAATCGAACACACTTCTTTTGCACAGTAGGGAAGTGCCTAAACAGGACCACACTGTTGGCTTCAAATACGTTCTCACTATCCGTAGATTCATCTAGCAATTTAAAAAAACAAAAAAGTAATAATAATAATAATAATAATAATAATAATAATAATAATAATAATAATAATAATAATAATAATAATAATAATAATATATAACATCTATATAGCGCATTTCCAAAAAAGTAGCTCAATGCGCTTTACATTGGAATACCATTAAAAAAAACCAACAACCTTTCTTACTACTTCCTTTCTTCTCATGCAATACATATTTATGCACGCGCACACACACAATACACACACACACACACACACACACACACACACACACACACACACACACACACACACACACACACACACACACACACACACACACACACACACACACACGGACTATTTTCATTCAGACATAGGCACAGAACAATCACGATTAAATAAATAAAGATCCGGAAAGTGTCAACTTTGGTTTATATGGGCATATAACATCTAGTAAAGAAGTTGTCAAGAATCTCGGTGTATATATTGACCACCACTTATCAATTGGCTCGTTTGTAGGATCTCTGTCTAAATCCCTTTATTTTTAGCTGAGAAGGATAGGCCTAGTTCGAAAGTACTTAAACGAAGAGACCACAGAAACAGTGGTAACATCTCTTATCCTATTTAGACGTTCAGTCCGACAGGCTCTGTCTTATCTGAGACGGATGCAAAATTCGGAGGAGTCCGTCTCGTGAGTAACCTGCCTGTGTTGAAAAGGGAGCTAATCACTCACTCCTTTTATTTTTCTTTATTTCTCCAGGTTCAACCTCAAAGTTTAGTCTCAGAAGTAAATTGGGAAGCTGTTCAAGCTAAAAATGTCTCGAAGCCTGCCAACCATAGCTCCGACGAGTCAACTCAGAGACCGACAGAAGACACACTCAAAGTAAATGAAACTCGGCAGAAGGTAGAAAAAGAAAAAGAAAGCACGGGAAATTGCCCGCTGTTTGTCAGCACTGGCCTAAACGGTCGCCTTGGCAACCAGATGTTTGAGTACGCCGCCACTGTGGGCGTGGCCCGTTCTCAAGGACGTATCCCAGCTCTGTTGACCAGGACCAGCGACATGCAGAACGCCTTCCAAATAACACACGCGAGGACCTTCAACACTTCCCACGGCTGTGATAGGTCTGTTGCTCTTTGCTTACTATTTGAGTTTGGTTTAGTTTAGTTTTAGTAAGGTTTTACGGCGATTGCAACTGCATAAGGTCATATGAGCGCCAAAGGGGTGGATGTCAACAGAGAAGTCCAAACGGGGAATCAGGCTTACTCAGCTCACCTCTCTTGCCTTAACAGCTCAAAGTCTGCTTCTACTATCAAGGCACCCCAGAAAAAGAAGTTCACCAGAGTGACAAACATGCCCAAGAAGTAGATGAAAATGGCGATAGTAAGGATGAAGAAAGAAAAAGAAGCAGTTCCCCCTATGTTGTTCCGGCACAGTATGAGCATGACATTGATAAATCAGCTCATTTTCAATTCGTTCTACGATGCATTCAAATAAGGACAAGAAGCTCGTGGCAAAAATTAAAGAAAAGTTTACTTTTTTAGGAGAGGGGGGGGGGTAAGTGCTTTACGGCGCTAAACTAAGAAAACAGCCAATATTTCCAAACCACGTGTCAATGCTGCTTAGTCTTCAAACGCAAGGGAGGTAGGACAAAAAGTAAATGCCAACTTGTACCAACTCCACTTTCCTACTTTTGGAAGTTTTTGTCTCAGTTGCCGGGCCTGTTAAAAAACCCCACACCTTTAAGTCGAAAAATATTACGGTAAATGCCCGTGCTCCGTCGGATTTCAGTTTCAGTTTGCACTCATCAACATCATGATCTGCGACAGACGTCGACATCATGGTTCTCCATTCATTCTTTT